TAGCTAAAAGTCTGGTTTGGTGTTGGGAGCAAGCACATGGAGCTTCCAGCTCCTCTAAAGCCATCTTAGAAAACAACAACAACAATCTATTATTCATAATTTTGATCTTTATTTCTTCTTATTTTTAAAGGTATTCCATTAACATTCCTTGTAATATTGGTTCGGTGGTTATAAACCCCTTTGGCATTTTCTTATCTGAGGAGCTCTTTATCTGTGCTTTGATATTGAATGATAGCTTTTTGCTGTGTAATCTTCAGGTTTTTTTAATCACTTCTAATACCAGCTGTACTGGTTAATAATGCTGATTTTGTAGTAAAAGAAAATAGATAATTTCAAGAGAAACATCAAAAGTGCTTTATTCAAAGTAATGTTCATTGCTAGCTACACATTTCCCTCATCTTTCAGGTAACTTGTGGATACCATCCCAATAGAACTTTTCTTGTTTTGAGGCAAACCATTCAGAGACCCAATTTTCCATTTATCACTTTTTGAAGTGCTGCTCAGAAAGTGCATGTGCCATTGACCAGAACAAGTGGCAATCTGAAGGAGCAAGGTCTGGTGAATATGGCAGGTGGGTTAATACTTCCAAGGCAAGATCTTTTAACGTGTCTTTAACTGGTTTTGAAGTGTGTGATGGTGCGTCATGATGAAGCAAAATTACTTTGTTGTGTCTTCGGGTGCATTTTGGTCATTTTACCATCAAGGTGTGGTTCAAATTGATTATTTTTCATTGGTAGTAATCAGTATTAATGGTTTCACCTGGTTTTAGAAGCTCATAATATACCACACCTTCCTGATCCCACCGAACACAGAGCATTGTCTTCTTTCTGAAGCGATTTGGCCTTGCAGTCAGTGTTGATGGTTGGCCTGGATCAACCCATGATTTTGTGCATTTGGGATTCTCAAAATAAGTCTACTTTTCATCATCAGTCACAATTTGATGCAAAAAAGACTTTCTTTTGTGCCAGTGAAGCAACATTTTACTGATGACTTTTTGGTTTTTCATTTGTCTTTCATTCAGTTGACGTGGCACTGATTTTTCTTCTTTAAAATCTCCCCATTGCTTGTAAATGATTGGAAATTATTTGCTGTGCAATAATTTAATTGATTGCTTAATCTTTCTGCAAGCTGTTTTTGAGTTTGACACGCATCTTCATCCAATAATGCTTGTATTGGTCTTCAAACTTTTTCGGTTGACCGGGACATTCTTTGTCTTTCACATAGAAATCATCACTTTTAAAGCATTTAAACCAGCATTCATAAGTATCTTGAAATGGAGCATGTTCACCATAAACTTCCTGAAGTATATGATAACTTTCAACAGCACTTTTCTTCAAAATAAAGTAATGAATTAAAACTTCCCACAAAAGCTTTTTGGTATGAAATTTGACATTTTAAGTGTAAAAATATCTATAATGTTAACACCTTCAGAAAATTTGACATATGAAGTTTTGAAGCTTGCTGTCAAAACAACAAAATAGCATACACATCAAATTACATGTATAGCAACATATGTGTAACTTCATCTATTAAAAAAAATCCGCATTATTAACTGGTACATCTGGTATTTCATGCCAATCCTTCAGTGTGCAAAGTTTTTGTTGAGAAATCAGTACAGTCTTATGGGAGCTCCCTTGTAGGTAACTAACTGCTCTTCTCTTGCTGCTTGTAAAATTCTCTCTTTAGTCATTAACTTTGGCATTTTAATTATGCTGTGTCTTGGTGTGTGGGCCACTTTGGGTTCTTCTTGTTTGTGATTCTCAGCACTTCCTGGACTTGTGTATCATTTTCTTTCACCAGGAGAAACCTCCAGAAAAAAAGACAAATAAAATGGAAGCAAGCAATTTATTAGTTATAGAATTCAAACTAATGGTTATAAGGATGCTTTCTTACCAATATCCCTGATGATCATAGATGCTAAAATCCTCAACAAAATATTAGCAAGCCAGGTCCAACAATACATTAAAAAGGTCATACACCATGATCAAGTGAGATTTTTTTGAGGGGATACAAACTTGGTACGATATCCATAAATCAATAAATGTAATACATCACATAAACAAAATGAAGGATAATAAGATGGTTATATTGATAGATTAAAAAACCATTTCATAAAGTCCAGCGCCCATTTATGATAAAAACTCTTAGCACAGTGGGAATAGAGGGAACATACCTCAGCTTAATAGTGTTTTCCTTCAGATCAGGAACAAGTTAGGGATGTCTATTTTCACCAATATTATCTCTAATAATAAAAGTGTAATATGCTAATTAGACAGGATGACCTTCCTGATGAAGCCAGGGCTGCAAGGGAAGCCTGGGGTCCCAGGTGTCTGTCAGCAGCCAGAGGGATGCCCAGGTCCTGGATGCCAGAGAGAAGCCAGTACAAGGAAGGCCTACTCTTGCACTCATTTTGTGCATTGGGCCTCTAGTTCAATATAATACTGGAAGTCCAACCCATAGCAATCAGACATAAGAAGAAATAAAAATACATTAAAACTGGTAAGGAAGAAGTAAAACTGCCATTATTTGCAGATGACACAATACTGTATATAAATAACTAAAGATTCCACCAAATAACTACTAGAACTGATAAATGATTTCAATTAAGTAGCAGGATTTAAGATAAATATCCAGAAATCAGTTGCATTTCCATTCACTAATACTGAACTATCAGAAAGGGAAATTAAACAACAACAACAACAACAACAACAACAAAAACACAAAAAAACCCAATTGTTAAAAAAAAACAAAATACCTAGGAATAAATTTAGCCAAGGATATAAAAGATCTGTATTCAAAAAAGAAACTGAAGAAGATACCAATACATGGAAGCATATACCATGTTCATGGATAGGAAGAATTAACATTATTAAAATGTTTATACTACCCAAAGCAATCTATAAATTCAATGCAATTCCTATCAAGATACCAATGGAACATTTCACAAACCTAGAATAATTATTTCAAAACATTATACAGAACATTTCTAGTAGCCAGAGCAATCTTGAGAAAAAACCTCCACAAAGTTGGACAAATCATGCTATCTGATATAAAAGTATACCATAAAGCTATAGTAATCAAAATGGCATGGTACTGGCATGAAAAAAGACATATAGATTGATGGAACAAAATACAGAGTCCAGGAATAAATCCAAGCCTTTATAGTCAATTAATATTTGACAAAGGAGGCAACAACATAAAGCAAGGTAATGATAACCTATTCAATAACTAGGACCTAATATTCAACATTTATAAGTAACTTATAAAACTCAACACAAACAAACAAACAATACAATTAAGACATGGGCAAAGGACTAGAATAGATTATTCCAATAGACATATGAAAAGATGCTCAATGTTACTAATCAGAGAGATGCACTTCAAAACTGCAATGATGTATCACCTCACACCTATCAGAAGGGCTACCATTAAAAAACAAGTGTTGGTCGCTGACCCAAGGCGCAGCGTGGAGCAGATCCCACCCCGGAGCGCCCCAGGGCCGTGGGCCCGCCTTGGATGCATAGAAGGCCACGCGCTCCCAGTGGAGACCAGCCTGCTGGGCCGCGCCTCCGCGATTCCTGGGGGGAGTGGGGTAGGGAGCTAGAGGAGGCCTCACCAGCCAGGCACTCAGGCTGGCTGCTCAGGCCGCAGGGTCCTACCGCTGCTGGCCAACCCCGCGCCAGGTCCCCGGTCGGTCCCACTCTTCCTCACTTGTCAGCTCCTCAGCGCTGGTTGCTCTAAGGCTGCGCACCCAGCTATTGGGAGTGCTGGGCGGGGTGCCCCTGGCCCCTGGGATCCCGGGGTCCGCAGGCGGCTTATGAGGAGAGCGAATCCAGAGCCAAGGAGGAGGAATTGCCTGCCTTCAGCTCCGCATCCAGCGGCTGGCTGCGACAGCAGACAGCAGCTAGGGGTGAAGGGCGGGAGGGAAGGAGCAGGGAGCAGGTGGTTTGGATTGAGGAGCACAAGCGGCCCGCCAAAATCTTTGGGAAAATCAAGGCTTCCCACGCGCTCAAGAAAAAGACACTGCGTTTCCAAATCTGAGCTATTGTAAATTGTGCTGCTATGAGCATAGGGGTACATACATCCTTTCTGATTGGTTTTTCTGTTTTCTTGGGATATATTCCTAGAAGTGGGATCACTGGGTCAAATGGGAGTTCCATTTATAGTTTTTTTGAAAAAACTCCATACCGTTTTCCATAGTGGCTTCATCAGTCTGCATTCCCACCAGTGATACATGAGGAGGAGCTGAGTGCATTAAAAAACTGTGGTACATCTACACAAAGGAATCCTATGCTGCTGTAAAAAAGAAGGAACTCTTACCATTTGCAACAGTATGGATGGAACTGGAGAGCATTATGCTAAGCAAAATAAGCCAGTCAGAGAAAGGTAAACATCACACAATCTCACTCATTTATGGAATATAATGAACAACATAAACTGATGAACAAAAATAGAACCAGAATCATAGAAGCATCGAACAGACTGTCCAACTTATGAGAGAAGGTGGGGGGGGGGGTGAAGAGGTAAAAGATCAACCAAAGGACTTGTGTGCATGCACATAAGCATAACCAATGGACATAGACAGTAGGGGGATGAAGGCATGTGCTGGGGAGGTGGGGCTGGCCAGGGAGGGGGGAAGAGACTTGTATATTACTTTAAACAATAAAGAATTAAATAATAATAATAATAAAGACACTGCGTATCCCTTCAGGTTCTCTCAGGGTCATGACTACGGTAAGAGTTTGGAGGTTTGCTTGTGCTTCCCCCTTCATAGCCTCTGCATCACCACACTCCTAATCACCGACCCTTCAACACTCCCTTCCACAGACCATCTTTTTCTTCAAAAACCCTTCCTCTGCCCCCACCCACTGTGGTCTGGGTTGAAAAGGCTCCCGCTCCACCACAGGAAGAATGGGGGAGGAGCCCAGTTTCACCCCCTTCAGCTGAAGGCTGGGTTCTGCAGACCCTGGGCAAGCACGTTCCCTCTCTCTGAGCCTCACCTTCTGGACTAGGGGTGCACTATGGTATGCCAAAGGGGGAATTCAGTTTGAATTTCCCCATTTAGTTTAGATACTTAGGCTGTTTGATGCCCTTCCCTCCTTATTCCTCCTCTCCATGCCCAGATATGGCCTCCTCAAACACAAAACTATTCTTTCATCTCCATCCATGGGCAATTATGGAGGATTGAGAAGTAGAAGAGGGGAAGGAAGATGGCTTCCATCTTGTGAACACCCCTTACCCCCTCTGGTGAGAGGAGTTGGGGGAGCTCAGGATGTCCCTCAGCTGTTCCAATTCAGTATTTTTTTCTTTTTAAAAATTACTGTATTTATTATGACAGTGACTCCCTGGTTCACAGGAGGGCCAGATTCTGTGAGTTTCTCTAAACTCTTTGTAAATAAATGTACAATGTTAAAAACAAAACAAAACAAACAAACACAAGTGTTGACAAGGATGTGGAGAAAAGAATCCTTGTGCACTGTTGGTGGGAATGCAGATTGGTGCAGCCACTGTGGAGAACAGTATGGAGTTACCTCAAAAAATTAAAAATGGAACTGCCTTATGACCCAGAGATTCCATTTCTGGGACTATTTCCAAAGAAACCGGAAACACTAATTTATAAGAATATATACACCCCTGTGTTCTTTGCAGCTGGTTATTTACAATAGCCAAGATTTGGATACAGTCCAAGTGTCCATTAGTATATAACTGGATAAAAGGCTGTGGTACATTTACACAATGGAATACTACCCAGGGGTAAAAAGGAAATCTCATCTTTTGCAATAGCATGGATAGAACTGGAGAATATTATGCTGCATTGAATAAGCCAGTCAGGAAAAGACACATCTATCTATCTATCCTATATAATAAAAGGCTAATATGCAAATTGACTGAACTGCAGAATGACTGGATGCTATGACGAGCACTGACCACCAGGGGGGAGAGGAGTTGCTCAATGAATGAGCTTCCCCTTCTGGTCAGTGTGCTCCCACAGGGGGAGCACTGCTCAGCCAAAAGCCAGGCTCATAGCTGGCGAGTGCAGAGGCAGTTGTGGGAGTCTCTCCTGTCTCTGCAGCAGCGCTAAAGATGTCCGACTGCTGAGTTAGGCCCACTCAGGGCTCCTGGACTGCGAGAGGGCACAGGCCAGGCTACGGGAGCCTCCCCAGTGCACGAATTTCATGCACTGGGCCTCTAGTATATATAAAAAATCCTAATATGTGAATTGAACAACTGGTAGAACAACTGAACAACCAAATAATCGGTCCTATGACATGTGCTGACCACCAGGGAGCACACACGGAACATCACAGGCATCAGTTGCAGGGGGCAGAGTGTGGAACATGATGGGCCATTGGCTGTGGCAGGATGTTGGAGCAGGTGAGCAGGGGCACCAGACCAAGGCGGGGCACCTGTTGCTGTCATTGGGGTGAGCGTCTGGTTGTTACGAAAATTCTTGCTCCCACATGCCACAGTCCTGCCCAGCACTTGCACCTGCTGCCAGCACCTGGCACCTGCCCTAATCACTTCATGTTGTCAGTGGGTGTGAGTGGTGGCTGCCGACCCCAATTGCTTCTCAGCTTCTCCTCCTCCCCCTGCTCTTGAGGAGGGATTGGGGCCAGAAGCCACCTCTCACACCTGCAGCTGGCACCAGAGCTGCTGCTCACACTGGCTGCCAGCGTCTGGCACTGGCCCTGATCACTAGGCACCATCAGCGGGTGCAAACAGGGCCTGCACAGTCAGCGTGTGGGAGTGGCAGTGGTGGGAGTGGTGCAAACAGGGGACTGGGGCTGTGATGGGAGCAGCTGGGCTGGGGCGCAGAGGATGTGTTGATACTTACCCCTGGGCCCACCACAGCCTCGTATCGTGGCCCACAGTTCCTTTCAAGGTGCATAAATTCATGCACTGGGTCCCTAGTATCATATCACTTATAAGTGGAATCTAATGAACAAAATAAACTAACAACAACAACAAAAGAAACAGACTAAAAGATATACAGAACAGACTGACAACTGTCAGAGGGGAAGGGTGTTGGGGGCTGAGTGAAAATGTCGAAAGGATTAAGGAAAGAAAAAAAAAACACACCCCATAGACACAGATAATAGTATTGTGATTACAAGAGTGGAAGGAAGATGGGGGAGATAACAGAAGATAAAGGGGGATTAAATGGTGATAAAAGGAGATGTGACTTGCGGTGGTGACTACACAATATACTATACACATAATGTATTATAGCATTGTATACCTGAAACCTAAATAATTTTCTTAACCAATGTCATCCCAATAAATTCAATAAAAACACTCACACACAAAGTAGAGGGTAATGAATTAAAATTTAAAGGGTTTTCTCTTTTAAATGGAAATAGCAATCATACTAAATATAGATTAAATTCAACTTTCAAGTTATTTTAATTAAATAAGTTAAAGAATGAACTCAGTACATTCTAAGGCCTTAATCAAATGTAAAATTTTTATGTCATTATGATTATTGGGGTAAGAGAATTAGAACATTAATTTATGGAAAATTCAGATTATATTAAACATAATTTAAATCACACAGTACTGTTCAGAATCAAGTCTGTTACATTCTTACTTAAAGCAACTGACAGTGTTGGAACCACAGCTACACCTCATGTTCCTTAGTCTCTCTCAGGGCCCAGAGTTCATTGATTCTTTCAATGATACCTTCTCCCAAGAAATACAAGCTCCAGAGGAAAATCCATTTACTTTTCCAAAGATGCTCAGTCCAACCTCGAACTCCGCCTTTCGACACACCTGTGCGTCCTTTGTAGAGTGAGAAGAATGAGATTGTGCACGAAATGGTTCTCAGTGTCCAGATAACTCCATTTTTTAAAAAAGTCAAGATCTGGATGTTCCTCCCACTCCCCTTCATCATTTTTGTGGGGATGTCACATGGCACATTGCATGGACACAGTAAGTTGTCTACAACAGAGCCATGGGCAGCCTCAGAATTCATCCACCTGCTGAGTCCTGTGTGTTGTCAGCCCTGGGGCCGCGGAGAAGGGCAGGAGTACCCTTGGCTCCAGGTGGAGTGCTTTGGCCATAGACTTCTTCCAGAACCACTTGAAAAGCAGCACCCCCAAGGTGACGCTCTTCCTGGCTTTGCAGGGCAAACACAGGTTATGCCTTGCTCAGAAGGTCACCACAAGCCTCCACGTTGGGGGATGGGTCCCAGCATCCTGGTGCCCCTGCCTGCCCTCCCTCCAAATGCTATCATAGTGTAAGGCTAAGGAAAGGGGGAAAACAAATCAGGTCGCCCCAGTTGTGCTGGGGACACGTCAGCGCTCTGTGGGCCTGGCTATTTATTTTCTCTCAGAGCTGGCAGGTTCCAACCATAGAGAAATTGTATCTGGTTATTTTTTTTTTTTTTTTCAAGTTTAGAAGGCTCTTCCTTTAGTTATTGTAGAGCTTCTTATACTAGTAGTTCACATAGTCACATGATTCTCATTATTGCTATCAATCCTACTCTATCTTTCTCAAGTCTACCTCACCTCAAGAAAAGGACATAATGCTTTTTTTTTTTTTTTTTCAAAGCCCAAGGCATAAAACATATTTTATGTAATAAAAGAATTATGGGCCTGGCCTGCATGGCTCAGTGGTTGAGCATCGACCTAGGAGCCAGGAGATCATGGTTGGATTCCCGGTCAGGACACATGCCCGGGGTGTGGTCTCTATCCCCAGTGTGGGGCGTGCAGGAGGCAGCCGATCAATGATTCTCGCACATCACTGATGCGTCTCTCTCACTCTCCCTTCCTCTCTAAAATCAACATATATATGAATTATGATACCACAGTGCATAATTAAGAGTGCACCAGAAATCATTGTTCCTGAAGTCAGAAACCACACTCCGTCACAGAGACTCTCCTAAGGATAGATAGAGTCTCAAGCTTTGTGGGCTAGTCAGCGATAAGGGCCATTTCCGTAATGAGTGAAATTAAATGGCCTGCTGGTGTCCTTTCCACAACTGAGTCATGCTTCATGATGAGGGTGTGCTATTCCTTCTATTAATAGCTAGCAACTTTTAAACACAGCCATTTTACTAAAATAATTTATTCTTCAGTGGGCACCAGAGTACACAAAACTCTTTTATCTCCTGCTTTTCTAAAAAAAAAAAAATCAATTACAGTTGATATTCAATATTATTTTATATTAGTTTCAGATGTACAGCATATTGGTTAGACATTAAATGTAATTTACAAAGTGATCTCCCAAATATTTCATGGGTCCATCTGGCACTGTTCAGAGTTGTTACAGTATTATTGGCTATATTCCCTACGCTGTACTTGACATCCCCATGACTATTTTGTAACTACCAATTTGTACTTTTAATCCCTTCACCTTTTCCATCCAGTGTTCTGTTAATTTTTGTTGAGCTCCACGAAGGGGGAAGGGAAGAGGGACTTTGCCAGGAAAAGGGAAGTGGGATAAGGTGAATCATAAAAGGAACTATAGTCTTGGTGTGACCAAAAAGTCCTTTGCTTTGCAGATTCTGAATATGTTATCCCCGGTCATGAATATTTTTGACAGATTAAAAATAGTTAACATTTGCACTCCTCTGAAACACGACCCAAACTGCCTGCGATGCAGTGCGGGAAGCTGGTTGTTAACATGCACAGGGCAGGCCCACACCTGTCCACTGTGGCGCCCGTCCTTCTGTCCATGAAGGGCACACAGTTGAGTTCAAGGCCTCCCCTTCCTGTCTCATACTCTTTGCTGTGGCCTCCAAACCCTGGGAAGTGGGGGTTCTGAGTCCACTCCACGTGCAAACTCTGCACTGGGGGCCCCTCTGAGCCCAGTTGTGGTGTCCCTGCCCCCAGTTTGGTAATGCTGCCTGGACTGTTAAAGGGTCCTCCAGGTCTCTATGCCTTTATTTCTAAAATCCATCCTCCACCTTGCCAGGTGAAGCTTCTGAAATCAGAGCTGTGATTGTATCATGCCCGAGCTCAAAAATATCCCTGGTTTTATAGGTTCTACCCATGTTGCCCCTGGCCTGGGACTCTGGGCCTCCCCTGTCTGATTTCCACCTGCTGTTCTCCCAGGTTCCCTCACCACGCTGCCTTCTCCAGGAAGCCCTCTCAGTCTG